ATTTTTAAGATTATCTTCATTTTTGTAGGTGGCAAAAATGTGGTGGAATATGTGGAACTTTTTTTGGACGACGAAGTTATTAATTATATAGTTGAACAAACAAACATATACGCACATCAAAATAATGCTCAGATGTCTGCAACAAAACCAATATAGTACGGTTTATTGGTTTTCTGTTACTAACATGGTATCATACTGTTCCTCAAGTAGAATTATATTGGAGCAACAAAAGTGACTTAGGTGTTCCAATTGTTCAACAAGCATTTTTACGAGCTCAATTTCGAACTATTAAAAAGTACATACATTTAGCCAATAATGAAACACTGAATTCGACGGACCGTTTTGCAAAAGTCACACCACTTATCAATCTGATGAATAAGAAATTTATGCAGTTTGGTATTTTTGAGGAGCATATTTCAATTGATGAGCTAATGGTGCCTTATTTTGGAAGACATTCTTGTAAAATGTTTGTTCGGTCTAAGCCCATTCGTTTCGGGTTTAAAATATGGGCATTGGCATCAAGTGATGGTTATATATTTAACACTATTCCATATGCAGGAGCCTCACAACCCTACGATAAGAAGTTGGGATTGGGTGCACATGTTGTTCTCGAATTACTTAAAAATGTTGAGAACCCACAACATCATTTAGTATTTTTTGAGAATTTTTTTAGTTCACATTATACAGTTAGCTGCTCATGATTGCTTCAAGACAATAGAGACCGAACTGGAAGAATGCAGGAAAGTTGTAAAAACGTTGAGGATGAAAATTAAAAACAATGTTAATCTTAAACTTGTAATGCTATCAATTGATAATTTGACCAGATGGAACTCTACTTTCAACATGGTTGAATCAATATTAATTTTAAAAAGCTGTATTGATGGAAATGAAATCGATGTGGACTTAGAACGCGAAATAAATTGGGATTTTATACGATCTTTTGTCGCTGCTTTCGAACCCATGGCAGAATGCAGCAGAAAACTTCAAGCAGAACAATATATAATGGGCGACTTTTATCGTGATTGGCTGGTATGTGAAGTCCAGCTGAAAAAAAAAGTTGAAAACTTATTTGCAAACAATTTATTGGAGGCAATGAAGAGAAGGAAGAAAAAATTGATGGAAAACGTTGCTTTTATTTCTACTTTATATCTTGATCCGCGACTTAATTTTCTGGAATCTCCTTATTTTACAGATGAGCACCGAAAAATTGGATTGGTAAGTGCTAACTTCACGAATTGCATTTGATGTTGATGTGGATTGTAGTCACGAAGAATTACCAACTACATCCGCTCTACCTGATAACCCATTCAAGGACTTGGAAGAAGAATATCAACTTTCCAAAGGTTGCTCTACTATTCTTACAAATGCGACCATAAGACAAAAACTTGACAAGCTGTCGTATAATGAAAGGATGCCATTTGGTACGAATGTTTTAAAGTACTGGAAAAATTTAGCTAGTACGGATAAAGAGATGTCTAAGTTAGTGGAGGTCATCTTAGCAGTACCACTTGACTTGTGTCCTTACTGTAAAGAAGACAATTAAGTAACTATACGACCAATGACATAGTTATATATAAAATATTATATTATTATTAAACAATAGCATTTAAGTAAATAGGAATAACGCAGATTATTGTAAAGAGCGTTCTTAGTTAATAAGTATTACCGAACTTTCTTGGGACTAAAAGTAGAAGTCTCCAAGCAGTCTGGTGCGGAGTTAAGATATAAGAACACGGTCTTGTGTAAAGAAGTTGAATAAAGTAACTATTGAAAACTTTAAATAAAAAATTACATCTAATTAAATTACATGGCGATCCTGCAAAAATTGCAGTAGGACCAATAAGATCTAATAAATCTAATTAATAATAGATCTAATAAATTGAAAGTTTTAAAATTTCCTTTGTAACATAAAAACATTAAATAAATGTGACATGTGAAATACAAAGAACTAGTAAATGATTAAAAGCTCCAAATTTCCTTTTTAATATAAAATATTAAATAAGTCACATGTGGAGTACAAGAACCAAAAACTACATATAGTTAAAAGTTTCTTTTTTTTTCAGTAAAAAACACTACATAATAAAGTGAGATGTGGATAAAGTGAGATTAACAAATGAACACAAAGAAATATATATAATAAAAACAAAACCAATGAAATAATACAGACGCCAAGAGATAACAATTAGAGTACTAGGAGTAAAAGAGTTCTCGAGCGATGAGTACAACAAAAACATCAACCTCCAACTTCCAAAATAGTAAAACAAAGACTTCAAATGGAAATCAAAATCAGTATCGATTGAATACTCAAGAGAACATCAACTCTCCTCTTTTATTTCAATTTTTAATCAGTATCTTTTATATTCTTTTATATACTTTTATACAATTTTTATATATATTTTTTTATATATTTTATATTTTTATTTATACATATTTATATTGTTTTTATATATATTTTATAATTAATTTTATTATTGTTTTATTTATTCACACCATGCAGTTTTTCATGAGTAGGTTTGATTAGGATTATATGCCCTTCTCCAGGGTCTTTTGGTATTATATGCTAGCATTTGGTATATAACATTGATTGCTCTGAAGGCCTAACAATACTAAAAATATTGTTAGATTAGATGGTGACGTATATGCCACAAGGTGATGCTTTATTGCACATGTATGGTTATGCAACATATATGTGTAGTTTGATGGATTGTAGGATGTGTTTTTATTTCTTCTGTCACAAAAAACTTGATTGTTAATTGGAACTAGATTATGTGTTGAGGTAGGTTAGAGTATCCATTATATAATATTATGGTGGTATTACTAATGGAGCAGTAAAGAGTAATTTGATTAATTGGCCTAGGACAATGGTTGTTACCATTTATTCATGATACTTTGACTTAATTATGTGATTGATGCCTTATTCATGATATTTCAATTGTGAATGGGGGATTAGTTATGTATTTTTGGCTTTGTATATATTGATGTGCACGTAATTTAATTATTTGATTATTAAGGCTTATATTTTGTTTTTTTCAATAATTCAATTATATTATTTTATTATATATATTTAGTGCAACATGTGTAAACATATGTCGGTCACGTGTAAATATATATGTAGAAATAAATATATATGTAGGATGGTAGATACCATGTTGTTTAGATAAGATATATATAGTTAGTCATAAAGCAATCTGATTATATGATTCTTTTAGAATTGTATTTTTAGATAATGTATAGTTTGTGTTTGAAGGGATTGATTTGCTTGACAGATATATTCTTCTTAAGTAGTGGTTGTACCATGAAATAGAATGAATGTTTTGTTTGTTTGGTATTTCGTTATATTCTTTTGAACATATATTGTATATTCATTTATGATGAGCTATAAAAATAGGATTGTTTAGACAATTTTTTACAAATTTTTAGGGAAATTTTTAGAAATTTTAGCAATTTTTAATAATGGCTTTAGTATATATTTTATTAATATATTTCTTAATTTATTATTATTATTATACTATTATTTAATAATATTTTATTATTAGTATTATTATATTTAGTTGTTCAATAATGAACATATTTTACTTTAATTAAAGTAAGCGAAAGCATTTCTCTTTCATTTCAAAAATTAATCATTTGGTCCTTCGAGCCTAGGAAATTGGCTAAGGAAAATTTTTTAAATTTTGAAATATAAAAGTCATAGTGATCCCCCACCAGAGGTAAGACACTTGACTTTGTTAGAGCTTTACAAACTCTAACTCAAAATTTTTCAGAGCCTTACAACCTCTGAAAAATAAACTCGTTCGTCAAGAACAAAAAATTAGTTAAAAGTGATCGATGCAAGACACTTGACTAAAAATTCAAAAGTATTAAGGCTGTTCAAGAACGCCATTAAAACCAAAGAGCTGATCCTAACAGCTTATATAATAAAATAAAATAAAAAAAGGAATTTAGGGAAATTCATCAAGGTTAGAATACAGGGCGTTTTTTAACTGTCGTCAGCAAATAGACATAAACATTTACTTTATTTTTTAGATGACAAAAAATAGAAAAAATCCATCAATACGAAACAATATCAAAAACGTGTCAGAAGAACACAAAACAATTGAAGAATATATACCCAAGCAAAAGCAGCCAGGTTCCTACCCTACTTACACACCAAGTGTAATAGCAAATCAAGGTCCAAAGAAGTTAACTATTGAAGAATATAAAAAGCGGCAAAGACCAATAAGACCACCAAGTCCAAAACCCGAGATAAAGAAGAAAAGAAAAAGAGCTGGAAAGCAGTTTCAAAGAAGGAAGGCGTTTGCACTATTATACCAAGAATTGCATCTGCAAACAAATAAAGAAGATAAAATAAAAATTAAAAGAGAAATTAAAAAATTACGAAGAGAAAAAATATAATAATAAAAATTTAAACTAAAAAATATCTTTCCTTTAAAAAAAAAAAATGGGTCTATTAACTAATACACAGAGCGAATTAATCAAAGACCAATATAATTTGATCAAAAAACTAGAAGAACTATTTAAACAGGCAGAAGGAATAGTAACAAGGAGTAAAAAAAATGAAGTACTAGAATTACTAGAAGAAATATGGAAAACATTCTCGGAGAATGATAAAAAATTATATAAGTTAGGTATAGAAGATATACCATATTTCAACGAAGGGGTAGGAAAAGATATGTTAGAAAAATATACTAAAGCAAAAAAATTACTTTCAAATACAGAAGAATCAGAGATAGACAATCCAGAAGATTCAGAAATAACCACACAAGAATTCAAAATAACGAGAGAAGAAGCAGGAAAAGACAAGGAAATGGCTAGAGATAAACTAGAAAATTTGATGAAAAGACTAAAAGGACAAGAAGAAATGATTAAAGAATTTAGAACAGAAGCAATGAAACGAAAGTGTGCTAATTCGAATAATAGAAGGAAATTATGAAAAAATACAACAAATATTGGCAACATTAGACAAAGACCAATTAAGTAATATTAATGAAAGGTATGAGATGATATTGGAACAGGCTAAAGTATTTTTGGATTGCAAAGATGAATTTAATAATACTAAAAATCAAGTTAAGATTGAAAAAGAAGTCATAACACCAATTACACAATTACACGATTTCGACGGAAGAGAGGAAGACTGGCAAACTTTCGTAGAATTATTTAAAGATTACGTACATAATAATCGAAATTTATCATCCTCAATGAAACTTGACTATTTAAGATCTCACATTAAAGGGGATGCGCGTATGACTATTAGTCATCTATTATCTGGAACATCAGCAAACTATGAAGCGGCGTGGGATACGTTAATAAGAAGATATGAAAACAAAAGATTAATTTTTACAAGAAATTTTGACAAATTACTTGACATGAAAACAATTAACTCATCATCAGTTTTGAGTTTAAGAGACGCTCATGATCAAATTAAACAATGCATTCAACTAATTGAATCTAAACAGGCAGAACCTAACTGTGACAAATTATACGCGCACATAATAATAAGAAAATTGGATAAAGAAGGTATTCAATTATATGAACAATACATTAAAAAACCAAGAGAAATAAACACACTAAAAGATGTATTTGAATTTCTGGAACAACAATTCCAAACTCTGGAAGCCCAAAATAGCCTTAAAACATCAAGAATAAACTATATTAATCCACCAACTAACATAAGAATTCAGAACAATACTATCCAATGCCAATGTTGTAATCAATTAGGTCATCGGATGTATAATTGCAAACGATTTATGGACATGTCGATTGGACAACGAACATCATTAATCCGCAATAAACAACTATGCGAGATATGTTTGAGTCATAATAATCGCATTAAATGCAACTCTACACACAAATGCAAAAAGTGTAATAAAGCTCACAATTCTCTTTTACACATGGAATACAATTTAAATCAACGTCAGCAAAACAGCAGAAATAACCCAAAAATTAATAAAGAAGGAAAAACTTATTCAACAATAATAAAAGATAAGAAACAATTAACCTTACTTCCAACTGTATTAATCAGCACAAAATCATCAGATGGAAATATTCATCAATTGAGAGCCTTGGTAGATCAAGGTTCGCAAGTATCAATGGTGTCTGAGAAGGTAGTTCAATTATTGATATTAAAAAAAATGAAACACATGACCAAATTGTCAGGGGTATCTAACACAACGGTTGGTACATCAAACGCTAGAGTCTTTATGGAAACATCATCAAGCAACTTGCAAAGTTCTACAATACTGAATATAAACAGTCCGGTTATAAAAGAAGCAGATGCGGTCGGAATCAATAATATAAAACCCTGGCGTTATTGGCAAATAAATAACAAAGATGAAATTGAGATGCTACATACACAAATTAAAGAAATCAAAAACAACGGGGTCAAATTAAAAAATTTGCACTTCCATCACGCATCCGGTCACGCAGCGCTTGGTTTGACAACTATAATAATTAGAACAATAATTATTTATTTGATTCGAGCAACAATGAGAAGAAGGCGACTGCTGGCAATTGCGATATCAGCTCAGCGTCAGAATGTTCATGAATGAACATAATGTAAATTATATTATTATTATTCAATACTACTATTCCAAAACATTATTATTTTACTATTATGCTACATTATACTTTAATTTAAAAAAAAATATATTAGATAATCATTCATGTAAATTCTTATAATTTTTTTTTTTTATATAGTTACTAAAAAAATATATACATACTTAAATATTAAAATTTTTTTTGTAAAAATAAAATTCTTATAAAGCTAATGTATAGCATATTAAATTAAAATTAAACCTTTATATTATATTTAATAGACTTTTTATATTAAGCCGTTCCGCCTTAATAAAGGCGCGGCAGTATGTTCAATAATGAACATATTTTACTTTAATTAAACTAGTATTCAATTTGATACTCTAGCGAAAGCATTTCTCTTTCATTTCAAAAATTAATCATTAGTAATATTATTTATATAATACATTATTATATTAATTTATTATGTTATTTATTATTTGTTATTTATTTATTAAATAGTATAAAATTATTTGAATATTTTAGTAATCTTAATTATTTTAATAAATTTTATAGTTTTGGTATACTTCTTACTTACTTAGTTGGCCATTACAGACGTGTGTCGTCCTTGGCCGCGTCGAGTAGCCTCCGCCAGTCAGCCCGATTAGTTGCCTTCTGACGCCAGTTGGTAGTACCGAGCGCCCCCAAATCGTTGGTCACCTGGTCCTTCCACCGAAGATGCGGACGTCCTCTACCGCGTTTATAGTTTTGGTATAGGTTCATCTTATATCATATTAACACTCAAGATATTTTTGTTTGCTCATGACTTATAGGTAATATAGATATGAGCTTGCAATATATCCGCATTATTTCATACTAACATAATAAGAATATTATAGATTGTCCATGAATGTATAGTTATACAGATATGGTCAACGTGATATTCCGCATTATACTAACACTAATGTTTTTATAGATAGAGTTTATGAAATATATAGGTATTATTTTCATACTAACATTCAAGATACATTTGAACTGTTCATGAATTATAGGAAATATAGATGTGAATTGTCCAGGGGTATCCGCATTGCAATTTATCTATTATCTATTGCAAGATGTTGCAGGTGAAATAGAACTGCACTTTATTAACACCAAAGAAGACATTGCTACACCATAACTGGACCTATCCAAAACAGAGCATAATTCACCAGGTAAAAAGCCTCTATTCTCCAAAACTTCGATTCCACGGAGTGTTAAGTTTCCAAAATTTCCACCAATTGCTCACAATACAACTGGCCTCGAAGCTCAGCAAGAGGATCTTGTTAATATATAAGTTATGGAACTTGAATATTTTGATTCTGTTCGAGAATCGAATATTAAGCTTAAGCTTAATTAAGTTTAAGAATATTAAGCTTTAGTAGTTAAGTTTAAGAATATTAAGCTTTAGTAGTTAATATAACATTAAGTTAAACTTGTGAATGATTGGAACATCATCTCCAATCGTAATTATATGAAAATAATAAACACTCCACTCCTTCTCTTTTTGGACTGGGGAACAAGAAAACCTAATTTATATGGTAAACTAGTATGTAACAATTATACGAAAGAAAGTGTTTGATCATTTTTTTTCATCTTAGGTGGAAAAACTCCAACAGAATTATTTAAATTGTTTTTCGATAAAGAAGTTGTTGAGTTAATTATTACAGAAAGTAAGAAGTATGCAAGTCAGAATAATGTAACAACTAACATTCTCGACGAACGTTTGCTTAATCGCTTCATTGGATTTCTCTTGTTCAGTGGCTATCATAAGCTTCCAGAAATTGAGCATTATTGGCGGCAACAGAATGATTTTGGTATTCCAATAGTTAAGGAAGCACGTACTCGCAATGAATTTCGTCATGTGAAACGATTTCTGCACATTGCAGACAATAATTCACTTGATAGTAATGATCGATTTGCAAAAGTAACACCTTTAATTGCTTTGGTTAATAAAAAATTCATGCAGTTTGGAGTGTTTCATGAATACTTGTCTATAGATGAGCAAATGGTTCCATACTTTGGGCGACACAGTTCAAAAATGTACATTCGCAACAAACCAATTAAGTTTGGTTTTAAATTATGGGTATTAGCTTCATCTGATGGCTATATGTATAGTACAATTCCATATGCTGGTTCAACTCAACCATACGATAAAGAAATTGGACTTGGAGCGCATGTTGTATTGAAGTTGCTAGAAAATGTTGAACATTCTGAATGGCATTGTGTATATTTTGATAATTTTTTTACATCATTCTATTTGATGTATGTACTATCACAGAAAAATTTTCTAGCATGTGGAACAGTCTGTCGAAATCGTTTGCCGTCAAACCTCTCCCTTAAAGGAAAAAAAGAATTGAAAAAAGGTTATTCAATTACATATCGTGTAAAATAATTTATTCTCTATCCTATTCTCTATTTTTCTCTTTTCCAGGTGAATCCGATTATGCTTTTGATAAGCAAAACGGATTAATTTACGTTATATCTTGGCAAGATAATTCGCTTGTTACAATTGCAACGATTTTCGAATCAATGGAACCCATGAATTCGGCCCGTCGTTACAATAGGACTTTACAAAAGTATGTGAATGTTCCTCAGCCTCACGCGATTGCAAATTATAATTTGCACATGGGTGGTGTCGATATGGCGGATAATGCAATATCGAACTATCGCATATCCATCCGTGGGAAAAAGTGGTGGTGGCCTTTGTTTTCAAATGCAGTGAATTCGTGCTTAGTAAATGCGTGGAAACTTCATTGCTTCATTGCAAAAGCACGTATGCGTATTTTTGTAAGAAAAATAATTTTTTTTATTTGAAGTTTAAAGTTGATCGGGTAAGTTTTTAAACGTACAAAATAGGTTTTGATGATTAATATTTTTTATAGTAAAAAATAAAGTATAATGGAGCGAAAAATATTGACACTAGTTTGAATAAGACAACTGCTTATTGAAGAGGAGGAAACTAAAAAACAAAAAAGAAAACGAATATGGGTGAAACATTGGCTTCAGAAAAGATCAAGACTATGTCACACTTATTTACTAAATAAATTGCAAACAACTTCACCCAATGATTACAGAAACTTTTTAAGAATGGATCATTGTTCATATGAAGAATTATTAGCAAAAGTAACGCCGTATATTCAACGGTAAGATGACGAAGGCTGTTCAATAATGAATATGTTATTTTAAGACAAATGCCAGTTTTCTCTTTAAAATCATAAAAAATTATATTAAAATTAAAATAATGCACAACTGTGCATATTAAACACGCTGGCAGGATGTTCTTAAATTGATAGTTTATTATTCCAAGCCTGTTATAGTTTAAATGCTTAGAATTATATACGAAGGAAAAAAACACGGGTAATAAAAAACCCAAAACTAAAATAGTAATTTTGTAGAATATTAAACACATTTTAAAATACATTTTATGATACACGGCACCGTATCGATAATAAAAATATATTTGTAAAATAATAAAAATCCAACGTGCCGGGATTTAATTGAATCCTTTTTTTGTAAATACATTCCACTCAAACAAGCTATAACAGGTAATAAATATTGTAAATTAGTTAAGTTAGTTTTAAGATTATTTTTGTATAAATACAGCATACTTTTTAAAATAAAATCAGTATCGACTGAATACTCAGATTGTAAACTTCGTCTTCTATTTTTATCCAATCAAAGGCAATTTCACCGCATGAAAGACTATCGACAACTTTACGATTTTGGCAACAGGCCAAAGTTTGAAGGTTTGAAATTTCGTGCGTACATTTCTCCAACTAGCATCAGCAAAATTGTTACTGAGACATGCAATGCTATATAAAGGTTTTAAAGAAATATATTTATGTAAGTAAAAATTCGACAGAGCCAAAGCTAACATACTAAATCTAGTTGTTTTTAATTACAGTTGCCAAAAAATGAAGAGGAATGAAAAATTACTTCTGATGAATTTAGCAGCAAAATATGAATTCTTGATGATTGACGTTGGATATAATGGTTGAGTTTCTGACGGTGGGGTGTTTTTCAACACATTATTTAATGAAGTGTATGAAGATGGTCAGCTACTTATATCGCCATAAACACTTATAACTAGTTCTGATACAGAGCTACCATATGTATTTGATGCAGATGATGCGTTTCCTCTTAGAGAAAATATAATAAAACCATATAGCAGCAGTGGATTGACTGCAGAACAAGATTACTTCAACAAAAGATTATCTCGTGCACGTAGAGTTGTAGAGAATGCATTTGATATAATATCCTCAAAATTTCGAGTACTGCTGACTACAATTCATCCATCTCCGAAAAAGTGTACAAAAATTGTGATGGCAATCTGCTACTTGGATAACTTTTTAAGGAAAAGGTATGCATCTTCGTACTCGTTACCTTTACCTGAAGATAATTTTATTTTAATTCTTCTTAGTAACATGTTTTGGAAATAAAATTTTATTTGGAAATTTTACCTAGGTCGAAAGTACAAATATTTAAAATAAAAGATACAATTCGTTCAATTTTGAAATATCAAACTTTTTTGATTTTCGTCAACGCATTTTTCAAAATTTCAAATTTTACTATTACATAAACAAATTTCGCATTTCACAAAAAAGTTGGAGAAAAATTCTCATGTGTATATACGCGCATAAAGGGAAAACATCGTTTAAATGCATGTATTATTTTATTTTCTAGTATATTTGTTGTTTTATCTGGGGCGTGTTTAAAAAATTGTTGAAAAATTTTGATGTGTAGTGGCAAGCTACACATAATGGGCCCTTAAGACGGTTTGAATTAGTTAAAGATGTTGGAGTTTAAAATCTGGCGTCGAGAAACGAAAACTATTAATAGTTCATTAACATAATAAATAAAAATAGTTGAACATTAAACTTGTGTTTTAATTAATATGAAATATATATAGTTATCATTTACATGGCGATCCTGCAAAACTGCTAGGACCAGTTTTTTTTCTTTAAAAAAAAAAAAAAAATAAACATATATAGTTAATTAATAACATTAAGACAAAAATTGAAATATCATAGAAAGTAGTTCAAGCAACTAATATAGACTAAAGAAAACAATACAAGACCAATCAACGGACCAATCCAGTTTTGTGGTCGATACTTTGGGATTAGCTTAACCAGCATAAATCTACAGACGCAACAATTTACCAGAGGACAGACATAACCAATAACAACAACGTACAACACCCACTAACAACAACTATGGTTGAGCTACAGTCGGTGCTTACTCACCTCATAATAGGCAAACCTCATATATTTATATGACACCAGTATAAAATTTTCTCAAAAATCAAATTTATAATAATTTGAAAGAACTTGTGCATTGCATGCGCACAAAGTCAAACATATAAGTTAGCACAACATTAACCAACGTAATAATATGTAATCAGCATTATTTAATTGAACAAATTTAATTAGCAATATTAAAATCAATAAATGTAATTATCAATATTAAAAATAATATGTAATCAGCATTATTTAAACGAACAAATTTAATCAGCAATATTAAAATCAATAAATATAATTAGCAATATTAAAATATGTAATCAGTATTATTTAAATGAATGAAATTAATCAGCAATATTAAAACCAATAAATGTAATTAGCAATATTAAAATTAATATGTAATCAGCAATATTTTATTGCGATCGATAATTTTGCTTATTATTTATTATTTCATTAATTACTAATTAATTGTCAATTAGGCGTATTTTAAGTTAAAATTTAAGTTACCTTTTAAGTGAAAATTAAATAAAGATTCAGTTTGAAAACAGCAATTAATTTGTTATTTTTTTTTGAATTATAACCGCAAGAGTTCATAACTGGCGCCCAACGTGGTTAGTTTTTATAAAAGAAAAAACTAAGTACTCACTGTCGCGTTTATTTAAAGTGTGCGATTTAAATCGAATATTAACTTTTTACAAAAAGGAAAAAAATTTAAAAGTGTACTACGTAAAATTTCGCATATTAACTTTTTACAAAAAAGGAAAGAAATTTAAAAGTGTACTACGTAAAATTTCGAATATTAACGAAGGAAGTGAAAGTGTAATACCTTTAACTTCACGTATTGAAGTTTTGGCAAAAACATCAAATAAAATAAGTGCAGTGACGACAACCGTTCCATGAGTAGGGGCCTAACAACTCTAAAAGGGATTTTAACGGACCGTCCACAACAATGCTGATGCTGATCTTCGTCCTGTAAGTCAAACTCTTAAGTTATATATACGTATAAAAATACAATTTCTATAATATATCACACACCCCTTCCTACGCACATTCAACAGTTCTTTCGTATGTTTCGAACACTTAAGATCATTGTATTATACGCAGCTTTTGTATGCCTTAATTGTTCTACAATCGAAAACTCATGGTACTTTTAGCTGGCTACTCGAGTTGGCTACCATGAAATCAAAGGGAGTCATTTTGTTGTTCTGTTATTTGTCTGTGATTTTAATTTGTGTTTAATTAAATTATAAAAAAAATACTAAATATAAGTGAAAATAAGATGAAAAAGAAAGAAGCATGTAGGGGCATGAATCAACACTAAGATTCTATTGGAAATTAGATGTAAGAAATTATGTTAGATATAAGAACTGAAACGTAATAAAAATCAGTCTTGACTCGACGAGCAAAACAAAAGGTTGTTTTATTTGTTAATAAATAAAAATAATATTACTACATAGAAATAATTATCAAGATATTAATACATGACGATCCTGCTAAATTGGATGGACCGAATTTAAAACGCAAATATTGCAAGAAAACGTGAACAATATATGGAATGGTAAGACCAAGTGACTATATAAGTGAAATAATAATAAAATGCAACTAGTGCAATTCTTCATTTAACTAAGTTCATAAGATATTACCTACCAGCGCGAACTATAAAATTTAAAGACTAGAAAGTGAAAAAATCGATGAACACAAAAAAAAAAATTAACTTTAAAAATGAGCAATTTTGACTCTTTTGTGTGTGGACAAAGTTACAAGTCAAAAAGATTATTATTAAAACATCAAAATCAATATAATGCCCTTATAGATTATGTAAACCAACTCTTTAAATCAGTGCGCGTTTAAAAAAAAAAAAAAAACTCATAGACATTAATAGACACGTATGTGCATAAATGACAACAATAACAGTTTCTTGGATTCAATTTCTTGGCCTATATCTTCATCAGTCACAACAAAATATTCATCTATCAAGTTACAACAACAAAATGGGTTGGTTCAGCAAGGATGAGAACTTAGAACAAAAAAATGACATCGTCAACAATGTACAACAATCAACGATGAATTCACATTATTATATTATTAATAATATACATTGCATATAAAGTAAATATATATATAAAGAAATATGTACACAAGAGCTTACGCTCGAGACGTGTACCAATTGATGAAGTTTAAATATGATATAAATGTTAAGATATCATAATATTTGTACAAATTTTAATAAAAACACAAAATATGTTATTTCAAAATCATATAAACATTTTTTTATATCTTTATAGAAATTTAATTCTAATTATAGATATTATATAAAATACACTTAACATTTTTTTTGTATATGGTTTGGTTTGTCGTTTTCACTATTCTCTTGAGAAATTTTCATTCTATCGTTGTAACTATATTGTTGTCACATGGACAGAATTATAAAAAATTTGGGAGAAGTACAGGCAATTTTAAAAAACGCTAAGAAAACAGGTAGTAGAGGGTACGCCAGACAGACTATTCAGAACAAATTAGTTAGATTAGAAAATCTAAAAAGTGAGGTAAATTCACTATATATAACCTCAAAGTTAGAAGAAACTGCAATACTTAAAGAAAACTTTCTATATAGTTATAATAAAACAAAACTCTACCTAATAAAAATGTCCAGCTCAGAAGACAATACTAGCGGCACAGGCACGGCTAGCAATTATAACTCTTCTACAATTACCGACCAGGCTGGAAATTGAATCATATCTACTCTCGTAGAATCTTCCTATTCAATGTCATAATTGTCAATAGTTTGGACATGTCTCCACCAACTGTAGGATGAAATCTAGATGTGTAAAATGCGATGGAAATCACCACTACAGCAATGCACAAAAAGTTATTGACCCGGTTTGCACAAATTGCAAAGGAGAAGTTATTTCTCAATATCTAAAAGGCTCCGAAATACTTTTCGACGTTAGTTTATCTCAAAAAAATCTACTGTTGATAAAAAAAAACTCTAAGAATAATATTTAAAATTACTAGAAACACTATTTATTACACTAAAATGCCAAATAAGTTCGCAAAAGACTATCCAATCTGAATAGTCATTAAAGGAAAGACTAATTGACAGATTCCACAAGTATTTTACACTGTCAAATGAAGCAGCAGAGGCGATTGTAGCGTCTATTCTCCATCATTCGTGCAAGTTTTTCTGGCTTGACTCTTTGAAAGATTTGACTTCGCGATCCTGAGATCAGATTCTTAAAATGGTTGTGGAGTACATCGTAGAAGCAAATACTAGCGAGCAAGAAAACAGCAAGAATATCGAATTCCAAAACATCGCCTGCAATTCGTTTTTCAATTTCGCCAACCAGAGCACCAATTCCATACACAATTAAAAACATAATTAAATACTGTTTTTTAGAATCTTTCCGTGATCCATTCACTTCACGATGTGAAAGCGAATTGCACCGCTTTTTTGAAGATGCAGAATTTAACAACATTACCAGCATAAAGCAACTCCGTTTAATCACAAACGCGTTTAGAAAAGCAAATACGCCACCGATGTCTTCAGCACCTGTGGAGCGATTATTTTCTTTTGCTGGCATCGTTAATACACCCAGGCGACATGCGATTTCAGATAAGCATTTTCAAATGCTAACGATCATGAAAGCAAACATAAATTTATACTAATTTAAAAAATAATGTAAATGAAAATGTAATTATTTTTATATTAAGTTAAATTTTTTCAAAGATCATGTTTAAAAAGTTAATATTAATTATAAGAAATTATTAATTTTTTTCTAACATGAATATAATAAGAATCTGAGTGTCACTTTTGACAAACGGCTGAATTGGTATAAACATATGAAATGCAAACGTTATAGCTGCTCTAAAATTCTACATTTTCTAAAGCCGCTGTTACTATATATTCAAATAATTAGGCCAGCACTACTGTACGGATGTGTTACATACAGCAAAGCCTCAAATACTCCCATAAAGCAATTACAGATAGCATAAAACCTGACTATAAAAAGACTATTTAAGATTCCATGGTATATTAGAACAACAGATATACACAGAGATCTAATGATCAGCTCAGTGGAAAAATATATCAGGGACAAAGCCATAAAATTATTCAGAAAAGTTGATACGCTGCCCAACCCCGCCCTAACAAACCTCAAGTCCACCTCAGGACCTACAGGAACATATGTTGACCATAGTTAAAACCTAGTGTGGGGGACGTTTAAGCCCCCCAGCCACAAAATAGTAAAAGTGCGCAATAGCATTAACTCAAGAACTACAAGAACAACAAGTATAGTATAATAAAAATAATATAATGAAAAATGTTCGAATTCAGATATATATATTTTGTTTTCTTAGTGATAAAACTACATTATATTATTTTTAGAGTATAACAAATAAATGAATTTAAATTGATCAATTAAGAAATTAAACATTATAATCGTATTTCTATTTTTGTCAAAAACAACTATGAACGAACGATCGCATCCAGTCTGGGCAGCCATGATTTATATTAGAATATCATCAAGACGTTGAAGAACCACAAACGTTCTTCAAAGGATCACCCATAACAAAAAACCGACCAATACATTTAAGAGATTTCGAATAATATGACTATTGTTGTATTTGTCTGCCCGCAAGGAGTACTGGGATCATTTGCAATAAAATCCTTTGTCCGCTAAAAACATATGCATAAGTACGCATGTTGTCAATACTGCGAACATAAGAAATACGATAACAACAGTTAAAAACATAATTAATTTCTTTCGAAAATTTAATACACGAAGACATCATGCTCCAAACATTTGTGATACTCAATGGTCCCTAAAAAAAACGGGAGCAATTGAGTTTTCAAAATGCATTTCGTGGAAATTATTAAATCGTTAGAAAAATTAGAGGTTGAAGGCAAGTACTAGAAAATACTAGAAAATCAACTTTTCAACTGCAGACAACAGCTACTAACTCAACATTTATCATTGCCATACTAATAATAGCCAAATATTCAGCTGGAGTCAACAGTAAATGGTTTAAAATCATCTTCAATAAGCGTTATACAATACTCTCAACATATACAAAATACAATTGAAGTCGTGGAGCAAAATCGAAGTAGCATTGATGCGATACTAGGTGCAATTTTAACCGAAACGAACGAAATTGCAGAACAATTAAATCTTGAACTAAAGCTTTCTAGAATATATACAGCCGCCAAACATTTAAAGCCAAAACACCCGTAACCACGATAGATCAGTATTATAAGATTTCCTTTATTATACCTTATATCATATTTAGACTCACAGCACACATAGCTCAGTATTGGATTTAGTAAAGAAAATTCCACTGCAGTTTTCTTATCCTATCTTCATTCAAACCACATGTTGCAATTGTCTGATGAAAGATTGTGAGAAAAAATTAAAATAATGCAAGCATTTTACAATATTGAAGGACTTGAGGCAGTGTCAAATATGGTACATCAAATGGAAAATAGGTAAAATTTGCTAAAAAGTTGAAATACATTTGTATAGAAGAATTAATTAGTGAAATGGGTTTCTTAGCACACTTAAAAATATATAATGACATATCGGCATACCAGAGCACCCCTCTCATTACGCCTTTGGGTACGCTCAAAGGTAAAAGAAATTAATTTTTATACTTATGTAAGTAGATGTAAAAGATATAAATAAAAGAGTTTTTTTTTTGATGTTCATAAAGATAAAAATCATAGGATAGTATGATTGGCTAAAGAAATCATTGTTGGTTAAAAGGGGGGTGTTACAAGCGTTATAATCACCATTTTTATCCGTCGTTGAGATAGTGCCGCCTTTGACCCTGTTAAGAACTTATCCCTTGTCCGTTGATATTTTTTGATCCTTCTTCTTTTTTTTCTCTGGTTTGTTATTTCATTCGATAAACTACGTGACCAGACATAAATACGCAAAACATGGAGTCGCGTAGGCATCTGGCTAGGCATCTGGCTCAGGCCTTACCGGATGTATTAGCTGTCTTTCCAGGTTTTGAGAATGAGGAGGTATATTATGCTGGTAGGAGGAGAAGGGTTGACACTCAGGTAGAGAAAGAAATCATTCAAATGATGGAGCGTGCCGGTTTGCCCGAGGTAAAACTTGCATGATCAATGCGAGGCAGGACATACCCTTGTACTCAACCGCAGCGGCAGTGATCTGTCCTATAGGGAACCAGCACAAGGTCTTAATTTTTTTTTTCTTACATTTTTTTTTATTATTTTTTTTAGTTTTAAGTTCATGAATTTTTTTATTTGTGTGAATTAGAAAGAGTAGAATGAAGTAAAGATATATTAGTTATATAAGTATAGGGAATTTTTATTTGATATTTCATTTGAATTTTTTGAGTCAATGGATAAAGGTATAGTTTCTTTATATTAAATAGGTATAGTTAGTGAAAGCATGACACGAATATTTTTTTTGTTGTCGTCTGCAGCGATACCTCAGTTTCCAAGAACCCCACCCAACATCGGCGAGCATACCGGGCTAGCCACCGTGCCATGAGCGGCTTCTGAGGGCGCTGAACTACTAACAGGCAGACACAACAAATCATTAAGGACTTAAAGTAATTAATTTAATTATTAACAATTTAATTAAAAAGATAAAATTGACTGTAGATTCTAACTTTAGAAACGAAACCATTAAAAATTACATTGTAAAAAAATTCGAATTAAGAAGATTGATTCTATACAGATGCAATATAGGATTCTATATTAATACAATATGAAATCTCATATTGATCTGCAACGAACACAACTGTGTTTACTAGATTCTATTAATTTTCGAAACAATCACTTCTAGCACACAATAAACTAGGGTTTTTATTCGGGAGAGAATAAAACTTAAATACTTACGGCCTTATTCATAAAAATTTATAGTAGGTTTGTAATACATTTTATCGAAAATGTTATTCAAAAACATTATTTAACAGTGTTATAAAGCATTTATAAAACTCTATTCATAAACGTATTTTAAAGTTAAAATGCTGTTAAAATATGTCAAAATTTATAATAGGTTTATACCTTCTATAACAGCATTTTAAGCAAAATTTTTGATTGTGTAGTAATTTTTATTGGGTGAATTACAAATAAATATGGATGCCATAAGCATAATTAAAGAAATATTGGTGAGTATTTAATTTAATTTTTTTTATATAATTAAAAACGAAATTATTGTGCAGCTTTTGGAATAGCCAAAAAAAATTGCCGCCATTTAAAAACATATTAACAACGTGGAGATCCGTTTATGCTGCGTGATGATGAATTTCAACTGAGGTACCGATTTTCAAAAAAGGGCGTAGAAAAAATAATTGACTTGGTGAAACAGGACTTAACGTTTGATAGTAAAGGCGCTGGAACTTCCGCAAGATTACAAGTTCAGTAGCTTTGCGATGTTGGAGTCGTAGAGAAGTAACTAATCTTTTTCAAATACTATTACACACTAAAAGCTTTTAATATAAAAGGTACAAGACGATGCAGGTGATTTACACGGCCTTAGCCAGGCTACAGTCAGTCGCATTTGCATTAGAGTAGCGATGGCTCTTGCAAAACATGCCGCAACTGTGATTAAAATGCCAGAATCATTAATAGAAGAGGTAGCAAATATGAAAAGCTTCAAACGCATAAAAATTTTTCCAAATGTGATTGCTGCAATTGATTGCACACACATAAAAATTAAAAAAGTGAGTGGAGCTATTTCCCAATATTATATAAATCGGAAAGGGTTTTATTCATTAAACGTACAAGTGCGTATTATTTAAAATATTTTTTAAAATATTTACTTACATTAAAAAAAAAATTATATTTTGTAGGTGGTATGTGATGCAAATTTAAAAATTTGCAATGTAGTCGCAAGATGGAGAGGTAGTACGCACGACTGCCGGATTTTCGATGAATCAATTCTTAAAGAACAATTAGAGGCAGGAAAATTCAAAGGGCGCTTGGTTGGCGATTCAGGATACAAACTTCAACCATACCTATTCACTCCAATACTGAAACCACAAAACGCAAAAGAAGAACGATACAATGCTGCACACTAGTGGTGCCAAACTTCGTTACTTTTGCGTATTTGTAACTACCCGTTACTTTACGAGTATGTATTCGTTACTCAGTATTCGTTACTCAGTATTCCTTACTGCGTTTTCGTTACTGCGCTTTCGTTACTGAAGTTTAAATGCTTTTTTCGGCAATAAAAGAAATTTTTGAAAGCATATATATTTATTATAATAAATTATAGATTTAATAAATTAAAATTATTATTTTATTGAATTGTTTGATCCGCATATCTTGCATTTAGCTTTTTACGTCCTACTGGTTCAAATGAATCCAAATTTCACTTTTTTATATTAATATTTTTAAACATTTTTAATGAATTTGATAGCGAAGAAAAATTTTGTTCAAAATAAAGTAGTTATTATTATATCGCAAAAACAATTGCTTAAAAGTGATCGTTACTAAGTATTCGAAAGAGTAGTTATAATAAATATTACTTATTGGTAAAATGAGTAAAAGTAACGAATACAATAAAAAGTTTGTATTCGTTACTGAGGTATTTCTTGAGTAACGAATACAAAGTAACGGATAGTTACATTTTTGGCACTACTACTGCACACATTGCCACCAGAACTACAATTGAAAGATGCTTTGGTGTGTGGAAGCAAAGATTTCGTTGTCTTCTAGATGGGTTGAATATATCATTGGAGAATGCGAAAACAGTTATAGTCGCACTTGCAGTTACTTACAATGAAAATAACTCCAAAATACCTTATAATGACAATTTTTCTGCGGCTATCAACTTTAGTTCCTTATCTGACTGTGAAGAAATATGTGATGATAATTCAACAAATCGAAAGAAACCTAATGTTATATTAAAAATATTTATTGAAAAAAACTTTTAATGAAATTGCAAATTAAATAACGATTTATTAATCATAAACAAATCTTTTAATTTTTATTTTTCTGCTGCATTAATTCATATTCCTCACAGTGTTGTAAAATGTTTTGTGTTGAACAGTAATGTTATTAACATTTGTGTAGTATATTCGATCATGGCAACCCTGTATAAAGAAATAGATAAAAAAGGAAAAAATACAAAATGTGTGTTTCCTCGTTGTGCTCAAAGGAGTAAGCGTGCCGTGCCGTAATTATTATTATTATTAATATTAAATTGTAAATCTATATAACTTTAATCAATAAAGTATATTGTATTATATATAAAGAATATAATAAAATTTGGCGACGAGGATAAAACATTAAAGGATGGCGAAGAATTTTGGTGAACTAAGTCAATATAACGTGGCGTCGGGGAAATGGAAAACATACATGGAACAAATGGAATTTTTCTTTGTTGCAAATGACATCACAGACGCAAAAAAGCGATCTTTTTAGCCTCATGTGGGACGGAAACCTACACGATATTAAAATCGGTTGCCACACCGATTAACATTTTAGAGGAAAAATTTACATTTGAGGCGGCAACTAAATTATTGGCTAGTTATTTTAGTAACAGTAAACAGTAAATAATAATAGTAAATAACAGTAAATAATATATGCCTAGTAACATATATTTATTATATGTTACTTTATGTATATATTGTTTTTAATTGTAATTTTATAAACCTTAAGTTAAGCTTTTTATTAAAAAATTAAGCACTGAAGATGTTCTAAAATAAAGAACGAAATATCTGCTTCTAAAATTTTTAAATAAAAGCGTTTTATTGTGGTTTGTCTGATAGCTGAAAAAATTTTTCAACTTAAATAATACGAAACCAGATGATAAACAAACTTAATGGGGAATATAATAATACAAAGGTTTAAATTTTATCGGAGAAACCAAAAAGAGGACGAATCAATTACCGAATATTTGGGAGCGCTAAGGAAATTGAGCCAAGACTGCAATTTCAATGATTTGGAGGAAATCTTACGAGACAGACTAGTCTGTGGCATGCGCGATGAAAATTTACAAAAGCGGCTTCTGGCGAATGACCAGTTAACACTAAAAATAGCGCAGGAGGAAGCTATAGCATCAGAAACAGCACAAAAAAATGCGACGGAACTTAAAACGTCAGTCAGCCTGCCAGGGTTGAATAAAATTTCAAGCAACAAGGTAAAACCAAATCGTGCTCCAGTGGGCCATATTCAGAATTGTTATCGTTGTCGAGGAAATCATCATTCAGATCAGTGCAAATTTAAAGACGCGGAATGTTATTATTGCAAAAAGCGTGGACATATTGAGAGAGCTTGCATAAAAAAAGCAAAAACCAAAAAGCCAGCAACAAATAATGGGAGAAGACCAAACAGAGTAAATCTTTTAGATACAAACCAGGAAACTCAAACGACGGAGTATTTATGGTCAATGTTCGCTAAAGGTAGTCCATCGGTCAAGAGAGTGATTACGATAAGTAAGTCACCGGTACAAATGGAAAGAGACTCGGGGGCAAGTTACTCAATAGTAAGTGAAAAGTTATTTAGAGAAAAAATGTCGTATATTCCGCTAAAACCAAGTCAAATACAATTAAGGTCTTGGGGAACAGAGAAAAATCTTAAACTGAGTGGAGAAGCAGAAGTACCAGTCTCGGTTGGGAACGTCACAAAGAAACTAAAGTTGTTAATAGCAGCGGGTGATGGTCCGGCTCTAATTGGTCGAAATTGGTTTAACGATTTGGGAATTACTATAACTAGCAATTTATGCAATATAGAATCAACTATTCTAGTAGAAGTGATGAACTTCAGTTCAGTTTTTGATGGAAATCTTGGAGATTACAAGGGAAATCCTGTGAAGTTACAAATGTCAGTTTCAAGTAAACCGAAATTTCTTCGATATCGACAAGTGCCTTTTGCACTAAAACTCAAGGTGGAAGCAGCATTAAAGAAGTTAGAAGATGAAGGCGCACTGCGTTCAATATCCTTTAGTGAGTGGGCAACGCCGGTTGTACCTATTATTACACCAGATGGTAGCAATTTGTATTATAGTTATCAAAGGTTTATAATACGTTTATGAATAGTGTGCATTATAAGGCCATTATAAAGTAAAAATACATTTTAACTTAAATGTATTTAAAAAGCTTTTTAAGAAATTTTTATGAATAAGGTCGTTAATATATATAGAACTAGTTAGAGAAGATGATCATAGTCATCATTATGTAGCACTTAAATGCATTGCTAACTGCTATCAAAAGTTATGCAAAGATGAGAGCATGGCGTTCAATATCAAACACTTGAAACCACTCACCTATACGCACATGTCTATATATCATGCATTACACACATATATAATCCATTATCAATAATACTATATAATAACACGATGTTTAGTTTAAAATTACGCAGCATAGGTGGTTTTTTGACAAATTATCTACAATATTTTACAATATATAAAAGTTTTTAATAATGAGCATATCAGAATATATTAGGTTCATAAAAAAAAATCAAACAATATATACCGGTAGGTAAATTAAAAGTATTTCACTATGGAATGTCTTATGTATAAATTCTAAAAGGATATTCGGTTGGAGTTTATCACTTAAAATCTATATTACCTTACATATTAGAATTAAAATTGTTGATAACATTAGTTTAAAATTATTTTGATGTAATCTCCCGCAGAAATTGTTTGATTTATATAGCATGAAACTTTGCTGTATTGCCGTTTGCCTCAGCACAATACAGATTTTTGATTATTGAATCGGTGCTAATGTTATTTTTTGTTGTGGTTCCACTAGACGCATTTGCATTCGAAATAAAGTCTGAATGATGTTAACTGCACACTGCAACTGAAATTTGTAATTTTTTGTTAACATTGTAACATTGCTTTATTTTATTCTTTAAATACCTTTTAAATGTGTTGAGTAAACAATGAGCAAAACCACAAGTCACATCGTGATTTTCACATCATCAAAGTTGTTTGGACAGAAACAACTTCTTTATTAAGTAACGTTGTTTCCAAACTTAAGTTTCCAACGTGCGAACATTTTGATTTTGTATCATTGTGGTGTTGGAGACAGTATCAGCAGTGACAATGGTTTCCAAATAGTTCAATATTTCAACGGTATATTAACAGTATATATAAGTAACGCTGTTTCCAAACTTAAGTTTCCAACGTGCGAACATTTTGATTTTGTATTCATTGTGGTGTTGGAGACAGTATCAGCAGTGACAATGGTTTCCAAATAGTTTGATATTTCAGCGGTATAGCAACAGTATATATAAATAACGCTGTTTCCAAACTTAACTTTACAACGTGCGAACAGTTTGATTTTGTATTCATTGTGGTGTTGGAGACAGTATCAGCATTGACAATGATTTCCAAGTATTTCAATGGATTGATATTTCAACGGTATAGTAACAATATATATAAGTAACGCTGTTTCCAAGCTTAACTTGACAACGTGCGAACAGTTTGATTTTGTATTCATTGTGGTGTTGGAGACAGTATTAGTAGTGATAATGGTTTCCAAATAGTTCAATATTTCAGCGGTATAGCAACAGTATATATAAATAACGCTGTTTCCAAACTTAACTTCACAACGTGCGAACAGTTTGATTTTGTATTCATTGTGGTGTTGGAGACAGTATCAGCATTGACAATGATTTCCAAGTATTTCAATGGATTGATATTTCAACGGTATAGCAACAGTATATATAAATAACGCTGTTTCCAAACTTAACTTTACAACGTGCGAACATTTTGATTTTGTATTCATTGTGGTGTTGGAGACAGTATCAGCAGTGACAATGGTTTCCAAATAGTTTGATATTTCAACGGTATAGCAACAGTATATATAAATAACGCTGTTTCCAAACTTAACTTTACAACGTGCGAACATTTTGATTTTGTATTCATTGTGGTGTTGGAGACAGTATTAGTATTGATAATGGTTTCCAAGTATTTCAATGGATTGATATTTCAACGGTATAGCAACAGTATATATAAATAACGCTGTTTCCAAACTTAACTTTACAACGTGCGAACATTTTGATTTTGTATTCATTGTGGTGTTGGAGACAGTATCAGCAGTGACAATGGTTTCCAAATAGTTTGATATTTCAACGGTATAGCAACAGTATATATAAATAACGCTGTTTCCAAACTTAACTTTACAACGTGCGAACATTTTGATTTTGTATTCATTGTGGTGTTGGAGACAGTATTAGTAGTGATAATGGTTTCCAAATAGTTCAATATTTCAGCGGTATAGCAACAGTATATATATGTAACGTTGTTTCCAAACTTAACTTTACAACGTGCGAACATTTTGATTTTGTATTCATTGTGGTGTTGGAGACAGTATCACCAGTGACAATGATTTCCAAATAGTTTGATATATCAACGGTATAGTAAGAATATATGTGAAGGTAGTTAGATATTCGTAAAAGTTAACAGTAAGAACAATTTCTACATTACTACCATAATGTGCTATAGTGATATACCGATGTTAACATATCTATAAGCACTAATTGCGGTATTTGAAATTGTCTATGAATTCCACCATTTTAATATTAGTCACACTTTTTAGTTAGATGCTAGTTTTTGAAATTTGTTTGCCAAAATTTTATGATCTAACTGCTACACCAGATACAGCTTCAGCGATACATTAACCCAACTTAAATTCAAATCATTTTTAAATAAATTATGTTAACAGTTGTTCATATTTTAATTTGCTTTTTCGTCGTATTTTATGTTTTACTAACATTGTAGTTAGTACAGTTATTCTTGGAATTATACGCATTCTCCACTTCGTTTGTGTTTGTCATATAACTCTTTGTATATATGTAAGTACGAAAATATTTGTGGAATTTACGTAATTTATATGTTTTAGATATGAAAATGAACAAAATATTTTGCTACTAACAGTTTTCATTCTACAAATTAAATAAAAAGTCAGTCTTAAAATTTGAAGGTTTTTAACGTATAAATACCGACGCCATGCTGCCGCGCTCCTTTGACTGCAATTAGACAACGCAATTTTTTTGAATGCAGTCATATAGCGCCAAAATTTTTGTTCACGTATCTAAAATGTAATTAATTAAATCAAATCAATACTGTTTAATTTAAAAAACATTTAAATTACCTCTTCAGTCGACATTTTGGAGGAAACCGTAAAAACATTCCACTCAGCCGCGCACAACATAGAATTTACAAGTCTTTTCCATTTACAAATTTAAACTCATTTAAATTACACTCCACATTCTTTTATTAAACATTTTTTTAATATAAAGATGTTTGTTCTTACATATTTAATAAATTTAAACGAACAATGCTACAAGTTGCTTCTCACCGCGGCTTCTCCATTATTAAAACAAATGTCAAAGCTAATGAAATAAACGTCAAACAAATAAAGTGACGCAGGGTATTATATTAAAAAAAAAATACAAATACAATGTGCCCTTACCCTCAACAAACGTGCTGTACAGCAGGATTTTGCTTGCGAATATGCGAAGGAATATATAAAATTTACAATATATATATTTTTAAATATATAATTATATTATATAATATATTTATATATAATAAATTATTATAAACATAAATTAATATTAAACTTTTTCGGTAGCTCGCAAGTATGGCAAAAAATTCATGCTGGCCTATATTGATTATTGCAATCTATCAAGTGTTATGTTTCGGCAAACAGCAAATCTCGCAAATGTACACATAATGGAAGTAAATACGATTTTGCATAACAATAGTGCCTATTATAGATTGTCGATCGCTGATAGACAATAGAAAAGTTTCTACTGCTGATAAATAAAATCAAATTTTGGTGTTATGAATGGCAAACCGATAGAAGTTTTTCTATCAGCGGTAGATAAATTTCTCTACTGCATTTGAGCACTAGAAATTTGTGGATCGTATATAATAAATGCTGTTAAAATGCTTTATACAGTTAATTTAACATTCAAATTTAATATAATTTTAATATTACTAATTTAATAGTTAGTAATGATTTATTTAGACTTAATATAATACATATATAATATTTATGTATCATATCATATAATATATATTATTTAATATGTCTGATTTCAAATATAATGTTTTATATGCATATTAAGAATAACGATTGTTGCATTTCTGTTTTGTTTTGTTATTTATTTATGTGTATATTTATGTGTGATGTATTTTTCAACGAATAATGTATTTATATAAAATTAAGAAATAATAAAATTCTACAAGTTACAAAATTAATAAATTGTGTTGTAGGGCAAAATTGATGAGCAATAAAAAGGAGATAACAAAACTTGTTGCAAATATGGAGAAATATCCAGACATTGCGAAAGGCATTCGTAACAAGTCACATTCCAGACCACCGCGGGAGAAAATTGCAAAAGAGCTTAATAGTCTAGACGCCTAGAAAATATTGAAAACAGGTTTGTGAAGGGAGACAAGAATATTGTGATCAAACACTTACTGCAAAACAAGAAAAATTAATATTGGCTATGGAAAATACTGATAAAAGATATAAATATCGGTCCCTTAAGCTTCAACTGCTTAAAAAAATATGAATATTACTAATTTAATTTAATGTACACATAATGTGAATATAACTACAAATTATTAAAATATTAAAATTAATATATATATAAACATTTTTATTTTTAGAATATTAAAGTTTAAGTTTAATATATTACTTTAGTTTGTTAATGTAATGTAATAATAAATAATAATTTCGTATTAATAATATATATTTAGTTTGAATTCAATTTTAATGTTTCTTAGCGAACACAATTCAAACAAAATTGGTTCGATTAAAGCTGCACGCTCTAAAACCCTTACATCATTCACAATAGTGCACATGTTTGTCTATGAAATTTCTTAATACCAAATTTGCGTACTAATCGACTCAGTACAGAAAAGTCTATTGTTTCCTGGTAGAAGTTTAATAATAGCCACTAATATATAATTAATAAAAAATTGATAAATAAAATTTATACAGAATTAAAAATGTTGAATATTTGAAAATAAAACACTGAAATTTAATTTTTTTCCCAATTTTCAAATATATGAAATTTTTGAATTATGTTTGATTTTTTGTTAACATATGATTTTTGTAATATGATTGCAATATTCGTTATTCATCATTTTATCATATTTTTTACAGTATTTGTTCAAAAAGTTTTTTGCACGGAGACATTGCGACAAAATTTTTTCACCATTCCTTGTAATAATATTTTTTAGCTGCATGAGAACTATCGATAACTATGATTTGACAGCTAAGAACATCAAACTGTGTTGAGATTTATGTTCAGTTAAGTTTCTTAACAATTTTAATTCCAGAAGTGGTCCTGTTAACTGGCACCTTGATTTTGTGATTTACTGCCTCACGATTTATTTTTGTGGGGCTCTGTCATTAGTTTATGCCGACAAACCAGCAACTCTTGAAGACTTGAAAGTCAATGTTCATGCCATCGTTGACGACATACGGCGACATTTATTGCAAATAATTCTCAAGAATTGGACTGATCAAATGGACCATGTAATGGAATTCATATCTAAAAAATGAATACCATAAAATTACCTACTACATTATAATAAAAAAATATTTCATTCCATGCAGCTAAAAAAACACCCGATACATAAACAACAGATTTTTATTTTTTAGTTTGCTCTAATTTCTGCGTATTTTGTTTTCAAAATTTGCAGGCGTTCATTCAACGGTTTTATATATTTAGGCAGTATATCATATAAAATGATTATTAATTAAAACACTAACAAAACACCGAATTCTTCAGGAGGTTGCTCAACATTATTAGGTAATCGTCTATTAGTAATCGATCGGATGATCAAAACAAGGATTTTGAGGTCGCTGTGCACCTCGGCAATTGTGACAGGTGGTAACGCTGTCTTTTGCTTTTCTGCTGGAACTCCAAGCAAAGCGAATATGCTGACAACTTTCACCAAAAAAGGTGAAAACATTCTGCTGATCTAAGAATCTAAGATTGTTAACAGTCGGTTTTGCAAACAGAACACCAACGGATACTGCACAGTAACCGTAGAAGTTCAAGGTAAACCCAGATTTATTTTTTTCATTTTTATTTAGACGGCTCCAAAATATATGAATGAGCTGGCGGTGGCATGTTCTCTGCAAAACTGGGTCTTAGTTTTTCGCTTCGATTACCAAACCACTGCAGTGCCTTTCAGGTAGAACTGATAGCAATCTATTGTACAGTAAAATTAGTTCTTGGTGATCAAATCCCTGACGAAACTGTTTCAATCTTCTCGGACAGCCAAGCTGCCATTAAAACTCTGGAAGGCACTTCAGCCACATCAATCATAACTCAAAACTGCCATGCTTCCTAACTCAATGCCTTAACTCGGCATTTCAAGGTTCCATTCATATTGGTGTTTATAAGAACATTTCGGGGAATTGCAGGGCAAGAAGATTGCAAAGGAGGAATGCACCCTTCTCCTTTACATTCGATTCTCAGATATTCGCGTTCCCCTTGCAATAGGTAAACTGACAATTAAAACAAATATATCTAACCAAAGTTAAGCAATACTTAGCTGACGAATCCTACTGTCAGATATTTGTGTCGATTTGGTTTAATTTGGACCAAAAACGTACAATTTACCTACTTCAACTTAGGCAGAACCTGCTCAGCCTCACGGCATCTGTGCTTACGGGTCACTGCATAATAGGGAGGTATGCTGTGAGACTAGAGCTAAGCTATAATGACTTTTGTCGCGGCTGTGGCTGAGAATGAGAAGGAAACTGTGCTCCATCTCATGTATCAGTAGTCTTCTTTAGGTAGTAAGAGAACAAACATATTCGAGGCCCCTTTTCTTACCGACCTGACCGAGCTATCATTCTTTAATATTAGAGTCTTAGCAAAATTCAGAGTTTTTAAGGTTGGTTTACCTTTGGGAGAGTCGTTGCCTTTTTTGACGTTGGTCGTATACTGAAACTTAAGTCTATATACTAACCAACGCTATTCCTGTGGTATCACAATGAGCCATTATTTGAGCTCAAATGGGTTTTCTTGGACACAAGGCCTCTAGTCCAACCTAACATAACTTAATATCAGAAAGTTTGTAGAAAGTTTTCTCTTTAGCCACAAAATAGGCGTTGATTTCGGTAATGACTGCTTCATTCAATAAACACCTTTCTCCTTGAAGTATTTTTTAATGTTTGCGACTAGATAGTAGTCGCTGGGGGTCGAAAATGACAATAACGGTGCATGCTTAAGCCATATGAAGTGCCGTGAGACGGAATATTGTCTTGATAAAACCGCACTTGTTTCTTCTATATTTGGGGCCGATGTTTCCTAATGTCTCGATGAATATTACACCATTCGCATCCAAAAATATGGATACTATAACAATACTATCCGACTGTTGTGCCTTTGGTCGCTTCAAACGATGTTCACCTGTTGATGAAATGGTAATATTGCAAAGTAAATTTCTCATGGACAAATTTTCGCTGAAAATAAACTCTACGCGCTTCTTCGATATGCTCTGAATGTCACCTAACTACACCAACTTTAGGGTTTTCCAAAACAATTTTGTGGACTTTTTTATGTTATCCGATGTGACCGATTCACTTGGGTGACCTGAACGTGCTGCGTAATTAATGTCTGTTTAGTTATGTTAAATTTAACATTTGTTGAGTCAAACTTTACCTGGAAGAGATAAAGCAGTGATAAAGTAGCACACAAATTTGCTTTGAATCTATTGATGTTACCTTGCGATTTTTCAGTAGGTCAGGACCTTACGATGAAATAAATATTTATAATCGCACAAAAATAAAATTTTTTAAATTTTTTCTACTCTTCATTGAATATTAAACAACAGCTCTACTGTTGTTCGATTTAAATGCTGAAGATAACACTCTGAACATTTGAGGTAAGTCAGTACATTGTTCGCTACTTGCAACATATTCCTCAGATTTCTTGTTCTGAATATTTTAACTTCAGATGGAAAATGTTGATTATTTCCTGGTCTTTCTGCGAGAGCTAGTTTATGTTCTAGCGTTACTAGTTTAATCAATTCTCGAGTAGGGCATTTTTTGGTTTGTTAATTGATTTTAGTGTAATGGACAATCACATACGAAGATAGAGTTAAGCTTCTAATGTCAAATGTAACAGTTATGGGAATCATAAAAAAGCTCCGATGTGTTTATTAGCCTGTTGTCTGTGGTTCTCTGATCTCTACTCTCTACTCTACCAATTAATTGATACAAATTATTTATGAATAAAAATTTTTTATTTTTATTTTTTATTTTTTATTAAAAAATAATAAAAGTTTTATTAAAAATATAATAATTTTGTTTTTATTGAAACAATTAAATGTTTTACACAATT